GGGGGGGGTGAGCAGGAGCAGAGTTTCTTGTTTCCATAACATCCAAGGAGAAATTGAGATAGTCAGCCTTTCAAGACCAGAGCCAGATTCAGATTTCAACATTGTTTTGGGTCATGCCGAGCTCGTTAATTTCCTCGTCTGCCTTTACAGTCTCGCTAGTACATCTCAAGGTGACTCCAAACAGCCAAACTGTGATTACTTACGCCCAAGTCGGGCTTACAACTTCTCCAAGATCTATTCCTTCCAAACGTCTGCGAACACTGCTAGAAGTTCCACAGTCCTGCTTGCTCAGCTCTGATACAGGTCCACAGATACTTCGCACAGAGTCTGAGTGTTGTCAAGCCTGGCACACACATTCCAGACAGTTTAAACAGCTGCTGACATTTCCAAATTTGTCGATAATCCAGATTTCCACTGACTCCAAAAAGCAGAATCCAGTTATCATGAATCCAGTTATGTTTCCGAGGTAAGAGGGCTCTCCTTCACCCTGTCTTCTTGTTGAGGAAATTTGATCAATTGTGTTGAGAGACAGCTGAACAAATACATAGTTTACAATTCGGAAGGTATGCAAAAAGGGGCTCTGAAAAAGGTTCAGAGACAAAGAGCAAAGCAGAGACGGAGAGAGGGAAGAAGAGCAACCGTCTTCGTTGAGGGCAATTCAGAGAAACAAAAGTGCACTAAGTGTATACACATGAAGCCCGGTCACAATGATCTGCAAAGTGCTGCATTGTCTTCTTGCTTTTTATGACCCTACCAGCTTGACAACGTTTCAGTGAGTGGCCTCGAAGCCAGCTGCAGTCTCACATGGGCCTCCTGGCCTTCACAGGTACAGTTCATGGGCAGGATGAGAGTGCTTTGGCAGACAACTTGGTTGTTTGCTTTAAGGGAAAGAACACTAGTAATAAAATATCCATAACTCCATAACCTCTGACCAAAATTCTCCCGTTTATGGAATGTTTATTATTCTCTGACAACCATACTTCTAAAGTAATCCACCTCAACTTCTGCATTACTCACTTGATCCCTTCAGTAAATTAGACCCAACTAGTTGATGTATAAACAGGGATCTCTTGTGGTTTCTTTTAGTTTATGCATCGGGATAGAAAACAGGTGTGGAGTAATTTACAGGTTGCAAAATAATTAAACCTCAAAAACCACATCAGTGGACATCTCTCTCATCAGGGCCCTTTTTGACCAATGTCCTGTTTTGAATCTAACAAGGTTGAGTCAGGTCCTCCGGACGGATTTGTCTTTGTTGAAACGTTTCATCTTTTATCCAGAAGACTTCTTCAGTCTGAGGAGCTACAACAAACAGTCTCGCAAATAGCACCTTCTCATAGTAGATCAACTGGTTGATCTGGATGGTCTGACTGGTTGATCCACCATGAGAAGGTGTTATGTATAAGACTGTTTGTTGAATCTCTTCAGACTGAATAAGTATTTTGGATAAAAGACAAAGTGTTTCAATAAAGAAGAATCCATCCAGAGGACCTGACTTAATCTTGTGAGATTTATACCTGGATTATGGAGCATGCATCAGGATGTCCTGTTCTCAAGTTTAATTGTTGCTTTCGTTGATGGATGGGGACTTTCATCATGTTTGTTCCAGGCTTTAAAAGGTCCAAAGCTTTACTGCGTCTTCTGAATCGATGTTGTCATAACCAGAACTCAGGATTTTAACAGTTTATGCTACATTTGTTCCTCTTCAGGATCAGATCACACCAGTTAACCTTTGGTTCCCAAATCCTGTCTTTGGCATAATTTTGTTGTCTTCTTTATTTTTTTTTATCTCTTTTGATTGACACTGTATTCTAACATGGAGAAGCTATCACCCAATCTCTCATGATTTGTCTTTTAGTTCTGTTTTAACCCACAAGTGTCAACATCTAATAAATGGGTTTAATGTTTACACATAAAGATTTAGGACATCTTTATCTTTTTGTGTCGTAAAGAGTGATCAATCATATCCTCTGCTAAATAAATGAATAAAAGAAGCATTAAAGCTGTTTACTTTGACTCTTAGATAATTTATTACAGCTGCTGTTTAAACATTTTAGGGTCATTTTACCAATTCAGAAACCCTCTTACGATGAAAAAAAAAAAAGTTCAAGGATAAAGTTTAAATCCCACTATTTGGTGGGTGTCATGCATCAGTTTCCTGCTCCTAAATCCTAATATTGTTGTTTTTATTTGTATTTATTCTGTTCAAAACCAAATTATTTTATTGATTGTTTCTGAATTGAAGCGAATTGGTGTTGTTTTTTCGTTTTCTCCTTCATTGATATTTTTGTATTAATTGATTTGTGGTTTTACCCTTTGCAACTTTTATGCTACACTTAAATTGTGTAAAAAGTGCACTAAAATAGTTTTACTTGCTGATCATCACAAGACGATTACATTTCCTTATTCTGCAGGTCAGCTAATTATGACTTTTTTGCAACAATATTAATTAATAATATTAATTTAAACATTTTTAAAAGGCATGAAAATTAGGGCTTTTAAGAATTTTAGGAAAAAACATCAAATTCTGAATATTTTGTGGTCCCAACTAGTGTAGACTTTGTTCAGTCTTGCAGTCTATTGTGTTTATTTTGTCATCCCAAAAGTTATGACACAAATATAAAAAATTTAACATAATGTACAAAAACACTGATATTTTCTTAAATATTTTATTGTGAACCAGTATAAAGCTTGCCCCCCTTGCTTTAAATATGCATAAAAAGAAAACTGGTGTTTGTCTAAAGCAACTTAAACATGTTCAAAATGCTGAGAAGGGTCACTGATACATGCAGCTTCATCCATTTAATCATCTATTTGTTAAATTATTCATTCATTTAATGTTTCTATCTTGATATGTTCAGAGCACCTATCTTACATTAATATAACTCGTTTAATGACACACTTAGTTTTAAGATGTAAAAACTCAGAATGAGTTACCTTTGGTTGCAGGTCAATCTTGTATGCCGTTTGTTGAAACTGCCTTATTTCTCTGATGATGTGAGAAATCTAAAAAAAAAGGGAGAACCGCAATGTTATCTTCTGAGAGCAGAACATTTTTATTTTTATTAAATAAAAGTTCACCCAACACCTCACCATCCTCATCTTTGAGAAGTTAACCAAGTTGTCTTCTGTGTAGTTTGGCGTTCCCTCCTCAATGAAAGCCAGGTCCGTGAGGTACATCCCCAGATATGGCACACAGGGAGGGTCGCAGCTGATTAGGGAGACAAAAACGTGTTAATCATCCACATTTATGATGCGTCTTCTTCTGTAATGTTCCTCTTCGAAATCCTGCCTGTTAAATAAACTCACTTTTTCAAAGCCTCTCTCAGGTTTTTGAACCTCCCCTCTGATGAAACCAGCTTTTGCAGTTTGTCAATCAGTGCTCTCGTCTGGAAAAGCAATAAAATATAAACACATCTTAAAGTCAATACTGTAAACCTTGATAGAAAATAACTGATCTGGTGTCCACAGAGACAGGCACCTGCTTGGAAATCTTGAGCCAGGTCTTCTTGAGGCGGAAAACAGAGCTGCGGTTCAGAGAGGACGTGATTTCGAGCACGGCGTTGTAGTTGTGCAGGCAGCGGCAGATGTCAGCCACGGCAACCCATTTTTCTATAACTGTTACCCGAGTGGCCGTGTCATCGCAACGAAGGATCTCCGTGGCAATCAAGTTGCTTATCTTGGAGATGGAAAAGAAAGACAAGCTATTTTAACTTGACATTTTAATTTTTGTCTATTTTTTTCAATGTAACTTACATCATTGAAGTGCTTAGTTGTTCTCATGATGTATGGAGTTTTCTCATTTTTGTCGTTTTTCATCCAACCCTGACCAAAGAATTCCCTGGAAAGTGAAAAAAGAAATACAAAGGACTGACTTGAAGTGTTGCTGTGTATGTTCTTTGATGCGTACTGTTGAGATGTGCTGCCACTCACTCGTATGGCATGACTTTAAACACCAGGTGGTCCAGCAAAGTGAGCTGCTCCGCGATTTCTAAGGCAGAGTGGCTCTCGAATGGATCAGCCTTCCCTGCTCCAGCCTATGAAATACAAAATTGCCCAATAATTAGGTGAACAAAACATCAGCACAGATGTTGAATTCATTTCACTTGGGCCTTAATGAACCAAAGCACCAAAACAAAATAACTTTTGGTACTTTTGGGTCATAAGCAACTTAAAAATAGTCAAGGTAGTGTGTCAGTTCAGGCTGTTCTTATGAAAAAGTAAACAATAATAAAACACATAGTTTTGTGCAGATTATTCACTCATTTATAATGCTGAATGTATCACCAGCTCATATTACACACTACAAACAAAAAGTGATTATTCAATAAAATGGACATGCATGTTTTTGAACTTGGAAGTAAATCAAAGTACAGCAGTCCCTCGTTTATCGCGGGGGATCGGTACCCTGAAGCCCCATGATAAGTGAAAATAGGTGCTGGTCATAAAATTAGAATATCATGAAAAAGTTGATTTATTTCAGTAATTCCATTCAAAAAGTGAAAACTTGTATAATATATTCATTCATTATACACAGACTGATATATTTCAAATGTTTATTTCTTTTAATGTTGATGATTATAATTGACAACTAATGAAAACCCCAAATAGAAATCATGGAGGGGTCTGAAATGTTCATCTTAGGTGCATGTCCACTGTGAGAGAATAATCTAAAAATTATAAAAAAAAAATCTGGAAATCACAATGTATGATTATTTTAATCAATTTATTTGTGTGTTACTGCTGCAAATAAGTATTTGAACACCTGCCAATCAGCAACAATTCTGGTCCTCAAAGACCTGTTAGTCCATCTCTAAAAAGTCCACCTCCACTCCACTTATTATTCTATATTAGAAGCACCTGTTTGAGGTCGTTAGCTGCATAAAGACACCTGTCCACCACACACAATCAGTATGGCAGTAGTGCAACATTGATGGATGCAAGCTGCCGTTAAAAACCAAAGAAGAAGAAGAAGACACACAATCAGTAAGACTCCAACTACTAACATGGCTAAGACCAAAGAGCTGTCCAAAGACACCAGAGACAAAATTGTAGACCTCCACAAGGCTGGAAAGGGCTACGGGGCAATTGCCAAGCAGCTTGGTGAAAAAAGATCAACTGTTGGAGCAATTATTAGAAAATGGAAGAAACTAAACATGACTGTCAATCTCCCTCAGACTGGGGCTCCATGCAAGATCTCACCTCGTGGCGTATCAATGATCCTAAGAAAGGTGAGGAATCAGTCCAGAACTACACGGGAGGAGCTGGTCCATGACCTGAAGAGAGCTGGCACCACTGGTTCCAAGGTTACTGTGGGTAATACACTAAGACGTCATAGTTTAAAATCATGCATGACATGGAAGGTTCCCCTGCTTAAATCAGCACACGTCCAGGCCCGTCTTAAGTTTGACCATGACCATTTGGATGATCCAGAGGAGTCATGGGAGAAAGTTCTGTGGTCAGATGAGACCAAAATACAAGTTGTTGGTCTTAAATCCACTCGCTGTGTTTGGAGGATGAAGAATGATGAGTACCATACCAAATACACCATCCCTACTGTGAAGCATGGGGGTGGAAGCATCATGCTTTGGGGGTGTTTCTCTGCACATGGGACAGGACGACTGCACTGTATTAAGGAGAGGATGACCGGGGCCATGTATTGTGAGAAGTTGGGGAACAACCTCCTTCCCTCAGTTAGAGCATTGAAGATGGGTCGTGCTGGGTCTTCCAACATGATAATGACCCGAAGCACGCAGCCAGGAGAACCAAGGAGTGGCTCCGTAAGAAACATATCAAGGTTCTGGAGTGGCCTAGCCAGTCTCCAGACCTAAACCCTATAGAAAATATTTGAAGGGAGCTCAAACTCAGTGTTTCTCAGCGACAGCCCAGAAACCTGGCTGATCTAGAAAAGATCTGTGTGGAGGAATGGGCCAAAATCTCTGCTGCAGTGTGAGCACACCTGGAGAAAAACTACAGGAAACCTTTGACCTCTGTACCTGCAAACTAAGGCTACTGTACCAAATATTAACATTGATTTTCACAGGTGTTCAAATACTTATTTGCAGCAGTAACACACAAATAAATTATTACAAAATCATACATTGTGATTTACAGATTTATTTTTTTTAGATTATGTCTCACAGTGGACATGCATCTAAGATGAAAATTTCAGACCCCTCCATGATTTCTTAGTGGGAGGACTTGCAAAGTCACAGAATGTTTAAATACTTATTTTCCTCACCATATATATATATATATATATATATATATATATATATATATATACACACAAAGGTGTTTTAAACCTTTCCCACACTTGCAATATTCTAAATAATGTTTCTAAACTCTAAATGCTCTAAAGGAGCACAGAATGTCATGTTTTCAACTCTCTGCCTCCGACTGCACTCTTGGCTACACCCACATCTTCGCTCTGCACGGATCTCTGTGCAGAGCGGTGATCAGCTGATCAGCTGCAGGAGGAAGCTTCTCTCCTGGCTGTGGACTGCACACAGTAGCTAAATCATTTAAATTAATTAATTTTAAATAAAAAATCCTTGCCGATCGTGCAGCTCGTCCATCAGTTGTATGTCATGTCCAATCTTACTTTGAAAAACCGCGATTGAGCGAGTCCACTAAAAACGAACTGCGAAGTAGCGAGGGACTACTGTACCTGAATAAAACATGTAAACTTTACTAAGAAAGATGTGAGCAGCTCAGAATCAAAGCTGAAACCTTTTTATAAGAGGTGACAGTTCTAACTACTGCATGGCTGCAGTCAGCTGTTATTTATCTGGTTTACTTATGGTATTTCCCCCCTCTGGTGTCCTGCATGACATGTGAAGTACTTTTTAAGGCTTTATGCTGATTAAATAAAACTGGTTTATCAATAAAAAAAGAGAAAACTTTTTTATTTTTATGTGGCTGTATATGGTAGATTTAAAGACATGTCACAGTCAGTGAGATAAAAGTAAATTGTGAAGAAAACAAGTTGCAGTTCTATGTCAAAGAGAAAATTATGAACTGTTTTGGACATGAACTGATATTTGGTGCTCTGGCTGACATGAAAAAAACCTAGGTATCAAAACCGTTAACTCATTTTAAGACACTTTCATTGACAACCATGAGAGAAAACAATGAAATGTTCTGTATAAGAACAGTTTGAATGAGTAATTTTATTTTCTAATAACCATGTGAACATCTGTGGTTCTTTTGGTTGCACGCTTCTTCTGGTTTGGCCACAGCGAGCAAACTCATAAAATATTTGCCAAGAGTTTTACACCTGTCAGGTTTCTGATGCAACCTGGGCTCAAACCTGCAGCCGCAGGATAAGAAGACCGCTGCGCTGAACGCAGAGGCACTGCAGCCTCAAGGAGTCAACAAAACTGAGGGAGTACAAAAAATATTGAATGCAAAAACATCACTCACCAGTTGTGTTACATCTTCCATGGTGATCTGGTTGTCACCATGATCTTCCTGAGTTAAAGTCCTGGCAGACAGGAGAAATAAAGAAATGTCAAATTCTGGAAGATGAATGTTCCAGTGAGCGAGCTGGAACTTAACTCTGATCTTTTTTTAAATTATTATTAAAGCGCTAAAACGCATAATGAGAGCTTCATAAGTTCACAGTTAAAACTGAGACTAGTGTTGACGTGTTTGACGTGTTTGACATGATGGACGAATGAACAACATATGTTAGAAATAGAAAAACAATGAAATAAAAAAATAATAATAAAAGAAGAAAACAGATAATCACGACGATTAAGAACAGGCGTTTCAGAAGAACATCCCAATTCACACTGAATAATTATCTCAATAGCAAAAATCAGTAGATTTCAACTCTGCTTTGGTTAGTGTCCCATGAACAGATCTGGGTGAATTGTGATCTAAGACAGAAAATTGTTCACTGATTGAACTTATTTTAATCCCACAGTCAAGTAGCACACGACAATACCTGATGATGTTTGCAGCAGCCTTTCTCTCCTGCGTCAGCAGCTCGGGGTCGTGCATCACTTCCTCCAGGAAAGCAATAACTTTTGTCTTCAGCTCATTGTTGCTGTCAAAGTCCTGAAGTTGCACACAAACAGGTGACTTATTAAATGATGATACTGATCACAATTACACAAATTTATCTTAACATTAGTTGCGCTCAATTTGTTTCAAGCTTTAATATTTTTCTTCGTCTTGATGCTTTGCTAATGGTTAAAATAAAACACCTCCCAAAACAGTCTCTCTGCTACGTTTGTATCATTTAAAGGACAACACAACATTTTTCTCGTTTGTCTTATTCTGTTCAAATATTTTAAAGTTTAGCTCTGTTTCAGCATCTCAGTCATTATGAATTAAACTGAACGTAGCCATTAAATAAACTGAAAGATTTACGTTTGGAATACACATGGAGAATGCATTAAAATATAAAAGCCCAGTATTCATTGCATTCCTTTGCTATATTGATATTAGGATATTGCAAAACACTGTTTAAATATCTTGTGCAACAATTATTGTTAAGATTTATATATCTAAACAAAAGCAGAGTAAAAACCAACAGCAGATCTGGGCTTGGGTTTGAAACAGTGTCTCTAAACTGAATGTATACCGGAGAGTGTTTGGACACCCAGTGCCTCAGTACGTTCAAGACTCTGTTGGTCGCTGCTCGTCTGATCACAAACTCTTTGTCTCCATTTCTCTGATCTGTTGGAAAACCTGCAGGCGACAAAGGATCAAATGTTTGGCAGAAAGCAAAACAAAATTAAAGAATCCAAATGAAATCAATTTGTACATTTTTGCAGCTTGGTTAAAAAGAACTCCCAGTACAGCTGTAGTGTAGCTGGTTTTGGATCCTGGGTATGTGTGTGTACCTGTGCTGGCAAGGGACATCCGTCGATACTTTTCCTTGGTTGGTGTTCCCTCGTTGGCTCCAGCTGTGGCGATGGCAAAGGCGGAGGCAGCAGATAGAGCGCTGCGGTTGTTGTCGAGCTCTCGACACGAGGACATGACCATGCCATTGTTGTAGGAAAACAAAGAAAACTCTACAGGGAAGAGAATATTTATCAAAGCTGGATCATTTTCTGTATGACTCAAAGTTTCACTTGCAAGCCTCACACTCAGACTATGGTCATTTAGACCATTACAAGATAAGAACAAAAATTGTTGTATAACTACTTTTAATAAAATGCATTCAACCCTTTAACTAAATGCATTTTTAGGTTTAACTGAATGTGCACATGCAGAATGCAGAGTGAGCCTGCTTTCTAACACAAGCCTCCACTAGGGAGCACTAGAGCCCAACACATCAGTTTCCCTCCAGACTCTCCTCTTCAAGAGCCTTTGATATTTAAGATGGTTGCAGCTAAATATAGCCACCGAATATCAGCATAACAGTGAAATCAACAGATTCGCCGCTCTCTGCTGTCTCTGAATCCTGGGAACACGGATCACAAGCAGATACAAATGTGTCATCCTGAGCAACAGGTTCACGCAATCTGCATGTTACTGTGCAGCTTTTGCCATGAAAGGCATTTTCATGCAAAGATGTAGAAGGCAAAAATAATCTGGGCTCTGGTGAAACAGCCTCATTACTGGAGGCGGCAGGGAAAACACGCTCTTGATGTAGTTGCTATGACACAAGTTTTCTTAACACCTACTGTAGCCAAGCTTTGGTTTCCCCCACAAGCTCATAAACATGGACACATAGACATATAAAGCTTCTACTGTTGCACAGTGGCTGTTTTTTCCTTTGGTTAACATACTGGACATCACAACCATTAGCTAATTAAGAGGCTTGGGTTTTCTGAAAGAAGATAATTTCCAACCTAAAGTTATGCTTTAGTGAGAAATAACTGTTTGCAGGTGAACTTGAATTGTATTGAGAGCTCTCTGCAGGGAGCCTTGGATACAGGTGGCACGTCAGTGTGCAGCCTACATGCTTGGTTATCAAACACTTGACTCGTGATTATATCACCCTTCACATTTAGGACACCATGTACCTGAGGAGTTTTTGCATTTGACGTTTTTTGGCGTGGTGGGAGATTTCGTCGGAGACGACTCTGCATCGCAGTCATCACTCTGATTTTGATCGTTGTCACTTTCTTCTCGCACTGAGAGATCTGCATCACAAGAGGAAGTAGAGAAAAGCTGGGTCACTCAAGACATTTTTAATCACAGCAAATAGACTTTTGCCTGGGATTGTTGATCTACCTTGTTTGCACATGGACGTGTCCTCCACCTTGTCCTTTTTGTCCTCGCCCTCATCAGAGATCTTGCTCGTGATAGGGCTGGACACGTAGAGCTTGTTGATGTCCAATGTGGTCTTGCTGAATGGGGACATTGAGGAGTACATGCTTGCATAGCCATTTGAGGAGCAGCTGAGGGCAGCCAGGTCAAGAGCTTTGCCCCCAGTGATGATGGGGATGTTGAGGGAGAGCTTGCGGCGCCGGTTGGGGGACGAGTTCTTGGCAATCGCCAGAGGAGGAGGGGAGGAAAACTTTCTGCTGGCCCTGGGAGAGCTGGGAGTCTCCCCATATAGGAGTTTACTGTTTTGACTGCTGGCAAAGAACAGCTCCAGGGACCTGCAGAAAGTGAATTATATACATGTGACGTTAGCACAAAGAAAGATGTTACTTTGATATTTCAAAAATATATATAATATTTTTAGAAAAAGCTTAGCTGAACAAACAACACCTCCTGAATAATTCATGCAACACGTGAAATCAGTGCTGTTTTTCCTGCAGCGGTGTCTCGACGTTTTAGAGCAGGATACAGACTGCAGCGTTTTGGTAAACCTCTCCCACTCCCTGCCACCCTCCTGCCGACCTCACGGGTTCCCATAAATAGCGCAGCGAGTGATAGTGCGCATGGCCACTGCTGACACAAGCAGCCAAGTGTAGGTGTCTCGCAGTGACATTACAAGCGCCGTGGGAAAGCATACTGCAGGGCGTGGACGCAGGGAGCTCTCCCTGATCTGATCCCTATTGCTGGGTTCTCACTTTGGGCCTGTGGTGCAGTGAGTTAGCCCACAACGCAACACTCTGTCTATATTTCACACTATGGATCTTTTGCAAAAAAGGAAAACAGGAAAGGAGGGGAGGGTGGGGTCCTGCAGCACTGAGGTTGGTTGCCATAGAGCGATGCATCTCAGTTTAGATGCTTCAAACTAGAACAGAAGGAACTGAACCAAATTAATGCCATAAACCAGTGAAAATATAAAGAAATTAACACGTATGCACTGACACGCAGTCACACTAAACACAGATTATCTGCTACTTCCTCATTTAAAACACATAAAGCTTTAAATTATTTTGTGAATTTAAGGCATTCATACATATTTACGAAGTTTGACCTTAGATCTTGATTTTGTTATTTGACGTTTACCTTTAATTTTTAGGATCAGAAGAGACGTGCAAGATCGCTCAGTACAACTATTTAATATATGACTTGAATGCACAGTTCAGGTCCTTTGAAGTGGGGCTCTGTGACATGTTATAAGGAATAAATATCTCACCTGTTGTGGATAGGTCTTTGAAAGACCTCAGTTTGGAGAAATCAAGTTTAATTCTGACTAGACCGTTGAGCTAACAGCACTTCCTGTGCACTACAATCTGTGCCCTCATTTACCCATTCACATAGCACTTTACTAGATTTCTATAAAGAATAATCAGAGCTTTTGATCACATTCATATTTCATATTTAATTTCCTCCAGTTATTTAACAGTCAACAATGGTGTACCACAAGGCTCAGTCTTAGGACCCACCCTCTTTACAATCTACATAGGTAATGCAGATCAGAGCATCCCTAATGCATCCTTAAATTTCTATGCTGATGACACAGTTGTTTATTGTCGAGCTAAAACAGTTGCTAAGGTTTTCCACTTTTTGCAGTCCATCTTTGACATCATCCAGTCAGATTTGTTCCGTCTCAAATTTGTCCTAAATGCAAATAAAACCAAAGGGATGCTTTGTTTCAAACAGGAAGTCAGTCCCATCAGTTCTTTCTCTGATTTTATCCTCAAATGGTGTTCCTATTGAGTTTGTCGATTCCTGCAAATATTTGGGTATCTTGGTCGACTCGCATCTCTCTTTTAAGCTCCACATGGAACACCTAATAAAGAAACTGAAAGTTAAACTGGGTTTCTTTTTCAGAAATAGATCCTGTCTAACTTTGAATGCTAGGAAATGCCTTGTATCTGTGACTTTCCTTTTCTCCATTCACTACGGTGACATTATCTATATGAATGCTCCTACAAGCACCCTGCAGATGCTGGATGCTGTCTATCGCGGCGCGCTAAGATTCATAACTGGTGTAGTGAGTCACGTGGGTACGTGTCACTAGTTGTAGTATGACAATATATCCCCGTTTATATGCATACTATATTCACGAGTTCCTCATCTTTCTGACTGTAATGTCGTGCATTGAATTTTAACAGAAATGCGAACGAGAGACGTTATTATCTTTGACCCATCAAAATGAATGGAGTCATTTATTTTCAGAATCAAAGTTTAACATCAAACATTTACATTAATTTGGCAAAATATGAAAATAATAACAGACAGTTTCACAAATAATGAACTTCAAATCACTCGGCGGTGATTTGAGGACTTTGCTTCAGATATTTCTAAAATATCTGTACTAGTTTTGTGAGAGAGAGAAGAGTTTAAGATGAAATGGAGATTATCTTACAGAGAACTATGTGAGGGAATTTATATCTGTTGACCAGAACGTGCACGCTTCATCAGATTTCAGCTCGCTTCCGGTACACTTTAGTCGAAGAAGAGACCGTTACCTTGTTGATGATAGATCAGCTCGATAGAGAGTCCTCCAGACCTTTCAGCGTCTCCGTTGAGAGCTGCTGAAATCCTTAGATAGTCGTGCGTGGGTTGTTCAAACAGAAGTTATAATTCCAACGTCTCTGACTCTCCTGAATTCTCGAATTCTCTTCCATTCACTTCACCATTCTTCATGAATTCCCCATGAATTCTAACAAATTCTCCTCAGAACTCCTTGAGAACTACTTGAGAACTACATGAGAACCGCTCCAGAACTTCAGAACTTCAGAACTCTTCATTGTCTAAGTCTCTCAGTCTCTTAGACTCTTCAGACTTTTCAAACTCCACAGAAAACTCTCTGGAAACTCTCTTCAGCTCCAACACTCTCAGAACCGGGAAGTTGTCACATTTTAAATGAGTTTACTTCCGGGTTTACTTTAGAGCTTTCTGATTCGTGGAGGGACCAGAAAGAGGTGTGGTTTTTGACGTAAGGTATTATCAAAAGTCGAGGTCAGGGAATGAATTTGTTTTCAACATACAGAAAAGATTATTGCAGAAAGCAGACTTCGTGGAGTCTCTATTCTGATTATCTTCTCAAATAGTTAAACATGACATTTCTTCTTCAGTAAACATTTAGTTGACCGAAGCTTCAACTTTCACATACTTACGACTTGGCTCATTTCAGACAGAAAATCAAGAAATGCATATTCAGGTGATTTCTTCTTTGAATGAGGAATAAAAATCATTACTTACTGTTTATGTAAAATAAAAATGAGTAGTTCTTTTCAACCTGTAAGCATTGAGTGAAACTAACACAATTTGATTATCAAAACATTTGTAAGACAGTAATGATTATAGAGGATTGTCTTTTCTGCTTGATTAATTCAAGAAAGAAAGTCATCAGATGGCTCAGACTTATTCAGATCAATGAAAATAACAGTCTCTGTCCATCTGGTAGATTTGAGGTCATCAGGGTCAGATAAGGGTCAGATCATCAGGTCATCAGGTTCACTACACTGGCTGTAACCGTACCCATCACTGCACCCTGTATTTACTGGTTAACTGGACATCATTAACTTCACGCAGACTCTCCCAGTCATACATTTTCATCTTTAAATCACTTCTTGGTTTGCTGCCTTCATACATCTCCTCCAACGTGCGCTCTCAGGACATTATTACCTGCAGTGTCCCCTCAGTGCGGACTGAACTAGGCAAAAGGGCCTTCTCCTACTCCGCTCCTGTTTCCTGGAATATTTTGCAAAAAGATCTGAAGCTCTCGACCATGACCTCTTATAAGCGGCTTCAAACGTCTGTTAAGTTCATGGGAAAAACCAATGCAGGCATGTTCCTGTTTTTAGTTTTCTACACCACCTCGTAATTTAGTTGTTTTCTCGCTATTTTTTCCTTTTGAATGTCCTTTTGGTTGACATTTTATTTTAACTTGTTAAAAAAAAATGTATGCCTCTTTTATGATCGTCTATTGTTGTCGTTGTTATCCACTGTTGTCATCACTCTTTGTTAAAAAAAAAAAATCAAGCCTCTCTTGTAAATGGGTTCCTGAGGCTCAATGGGATTAATCTGTATAAATAAAGGTTGAATATGGTCCTGATGGGACACACAACAGAGGTGATGAGGGGTTCATTGTTTTGCCCAGGGACAGTTCGGCACGTGACTGCTGGTGGAATCGAACCCCCAATTCTTGCATTGGAGGACGACTGCTCTAACCACTCAGCCACAGCTGTCCCCTTTAAATATTCACAGAACCTAAACACAGGTTTTAACCAATTAACACTTTGCAGCTCGAAGCTGTCACTTAATCTATACAACTGATCAGCTGTTGTTAAAAAAATATCAAACATTAAAGAGAGTTATAAAAATGAACAAAAAATATTTGTTTGTCTGCTGAAGGTGCTGTCAGCAACTTCACCACATTCAAGTTATCCAGAGGCAGAGCGACTCACCGAGCAGGGATGGCACTGATGGGCTTCTTGTAGATGGTGATGAGTTTATCTAACACCACGTCAGCCGTGGTGAATACACGATAGGAGTGGAGGAAGGTGTTAAGGAAGTCGATCGAGAGGAACCGAAGATCGGTCAGTCTCTCCAGCAGGCGTTCAACACTGGCGTAACGAATCTGCAGCACTTTGCAGGAGTTCATCATCTTGCTGAAGCGAATGTCCACATCATCGCAATACAGAGTTGAATCTGATCTGTTGACATGAAACACAAAAATTAGGGGGGAAACTAGTCTGGAAGCAGAAGATGCACACCGTTACATGGGAATACATTTCTCACTTGATCATCTGTGGCACTGTGACCTTGGAGTTGTCCTCAAAGGCATTCATCATGAGGCCGTTGCAGCGGATGTTGTCTATGCACTGCGGGACACAGGCGGTGAAGAAGCAGACAAGATGGAGGAAATGTTAGTGAGTTCTGTGATGTGAAGGCTTTTGGCCGACGTCCTCGGCCTGTCGTCTCGCTGCTGGAGATTGTGATGTGTGTTGACGTGCCTGGCTGATGTCACTGGTCCATGCAGACTTCTCCTGCCTGGAGGAGGCCACCAGGATGACGGTGAATGACTGGCTGTCCTTTGGCTCCACCACGATCTTGAAGTCCAGGTGCTCCATGTCCTGGCCGCTCTTGTCTGATTTTGCTTTGAGGTGAGCAAAAAGATGAAAGATGATTTCCTTTACAGCTTCAATCACTCATGTAGTATACATTTTACAGGACAGTGTTGATTTAAAAAGGAGAAAAGGAACAAAATGTTGGTGAAAAACAGCCATTACTAAAATCATGTAATGTCTTTAAATAGATTTTATACAAAGCTTGAACTGTGGTTTCCAATGTGATATCTTTGAGTCTTTGTCTGAAAGATTACACTAAATTACAAGAGCAAAATTTGGGAACTTTGGTGAAACTGAAGAGCAAGGACAAAAGACAAATTCATTAAATTTTGCTTCATATCTGGATAATGGTTTAAAAATTATCCTCGCAAACCATTTTACTTGGTAATTTATTTTTGCTGCAGCCTGATTACTACTTATACAAAACTAATAAACTAAAACAGACTGTAACAACAGAATATTACATAAAGCATCAAACGTGGTGCGTATAATGCAAATGTTGCATTATATGCCATGCATGACTGCAATGCATGTTGCAAACACTTACATTCATCATCTGTTCCCTCAGGGTCCTCCATCAAAGTGCAGTCTATTAGCGAGACAACTCCATTCTAAAAATAGCATTCAATGCAGATTCAGTTTTTTTACATCGGCCACATTTGACCAAACATTATGCATGGACACATGACATAACAGGCATTAATGCAACATATTTTATTAGCTGAGTAAAAAACTAGACACTTTAAATTAATGACTTTGCAGCTTTTAGAAATAAAGTTTTATAAAAACATGTATGACTGTAAAAAAATCACTTAGTTTCACAATGTACTCAGACGAAACTTGCAATATAACATAGTTCAGATCTCTTGAAGTGGGGTTCTGTGGAAAGGGTATGAATATGTCACCTACAAATTGTACATATCTTTTTTAACAAACTTAGGAGAAAACGGTGGTTAGAAATGGCAGGACTGATGAGCTGATGGCTAGTCAGAGCAGGGCAGAGACCAATGTGAATTTTATTTATCCTAAAACAACTTTAATCTCAAAAGTTTTCCAGCAGTTTATGCAGTTGTCATTTTCTAATCCAAAACCATTTGTTTTGCAGTACACAGTATTTCAGACAGAAATATTTAATTATTTTTTCACCAAAACTGCTACAAACTAACCGCTACTGCTATTTGTAACTTGTTTTTGAAACAACTAGCTATCCATATGGGTCTGAGCCTTGCTCAGGATCAAGGCATATTTCTCAAAAGGAAACTGTGAAAAGAGTTATCTACAACATGTAAGATAATAATTGTTCTTAACGTTTTTACAGAAGTGCCAAAAGGGTAGCAGCAAAGGAAAGGTTTCCTAAAGAGTGGTGAGACCAGCTATTGTATGGTCTGGAGACAGCGGCACTGACAAACAGACAGGAGAAAGAACTGGAAGTGGAAAAAATGAAGATGATGAGGTTCTCCTTAGGAGTGACACAGATGGATAAATTTAGGAATGAGATCATCAGAGGTACAGCACAGGTTGAACAACTGGGAGATAAAGTTAGAGAGGTCAGACTGAGATGGTTTGGACATGTCCAGAGGAGGGACAGTGGGTATACTGGTAGAAGGATGTTAGAAATGCAGCTGGCAGGAAAAAGACAAAGAGGAGATATATGGATGCAGCTAGAGAGGACATGGAGGTAGTTGAAGTGAGGACAGAGTGAATTGGAGGAGGATGACTCGCTGTGACGACACTTGAAGAGGGAAAAGCCAAAAGAAGAAGAAGAAGATCCTTTTATAAAATTTCACTCCAAGAGCTCTGAACTGCTCAATAGAAAATCACAAACTTAAAACTATTGCTTTGTAAAGCTAAATAATACTGAATTAGTAGATTTTATGACATGTTTGCGACTCGCACAAGCACAGACCTAATCTTTACCTCTTTTAATTAAAGCCATGTAGAGCCTAAACTAATTAAGCACTCAAACACAAAGATCCAAGGAGAAGTGCTGCTGATAAAAGTCACAACTCTGAGTCTTTTGTCTGCTGTCAGGTGTAACGTTCACGTCAGCTCAGAGTCTTGTGGGGCTGTAAGTCTGACGTTGAAAAAGAGGATCAGCTACTATGTCAGCACAGCAGCTTCAGGCCCACCTTGGTGAGATGAAGCTTTCCACCAGAACCCCTGGTGCAGATGATTAAATGCTTAGAGAAGAGGAAACACTGCCTCTCCCCTTCCTTCTTTAAAGACAGAGAACCCAGTCGCCCACGGGTGATTTTGCCCTTCTCGCTCATTGGCACCTGAATCAGAGACCCTGCATGCAGAAAACAAAACTGTGTTTACAAATAATTATAAAAAATAAAGACATGCACATAAAGGGCTACAAGAAAAGAGGCTACTGTACAAAAAAAAAAAAAGGCATTACAGAGAAATCTAAAGACACAGTGCACGAGACAGTGAGGATTAAATAAGCACCGTTTGTCTTCTCCTCACCCAGTAGGACCAGTTGAGAACATCTGGCATCTACAGTTCCAGATTCATCATCAGTTTGCCTCAGAACAGTCAAATTGCATTTGTAAATTAAAGACTGTCCTTGTGAGTAGTGTGTGCCCTTCCCCAGACAGTGCCAACACCCACCCCGACCCAAAATATCCCAGTCACAGCCTGAGAGATCATGCTGTCAGGGGTGTAATGCAGAGGGACAAGAAATCCCTTCCTGTTGCGTTGGGCACGTGGCGGTGCAGGATACCTTGTCTTACAAACGTCTGGCTGGTGTCAAGGAGCACTTCGCAGCCCTCAATGATCATGCGCTCTATCGCCAGGTTCTTCCTGATGTTTTCGGTCTCGCTGACCTCATCATGCATGATTCTGAAAAAGGACACAAATTATCATTCTTACTGGGTAACGCTTAAATTTCAGAAACAAGAAAACCTGTGATTGCTTCCCGTTGTGCTTAAGTTATGTACTTACCGACTTATTTTATTATGTAAATTATTATTATTTAAAAACAAACAACCTAAATGATCATACTGTCATATGTAGTGGTGCCTGTTTTAAATAGATACAATACAAAGCAACACAAAATAATAAAATGCAATATGATTCAATACAAAACAATATGATTTAATACATTAAGAGGAGGGGGAGGGGATGGGGAAGAGATATGATGCAACACAATGTACCGTAATATTGTACATATAGTATCAACATAAAACAAAGTATCAAATTACAAAGTAATTTCATGCCTGCCAATATTTCCTGATGACAATGAGAGACACCTATGAGGTCCTAGGAGGGTGAGTTTCAGGGCGTGCACCCTTCAATTCAATTCAGTTCAGTTTATTCACATAGCACCAAGTCACAACAGAAGTCATCTCAGGGCACTGAACAGAAATATTCATATGTACCCTTGGACAAGGTAGAAAATTTTTTTCAAATACATTTTCCAGCTATTTGAAATGCATTTTACTGTAATCTTAGGATTAATAAAAACACAATAAAACCTGTGTATTGTATATTTATGCAAAGGTGGAACATAAACTTACAACTATAGTCTTTAAACTGAACTTTATCTGACATCATAATTGAATCTTTTTGATGTTTTTTGTATTTATTTATATTTATCTATTTTTCAATAACAGCACTTGCATTTTGTATACAATTTTTAACGATTAAGCACATTATAAACAAACTCTATGCATGTACATTATTGGTTTACATGATTTTTCCAGTTTAAAAAGATGCTCAAAAATGGGACCTTTTACAGTTCTCTGGTGTATATAAATGATTTTAAATACAAAAAAATGTATGTGAAGTATAAATCTAAATGTACTTTTAATTTAGCTGAACCCACAGCTTCTTCTGTGAATGACTTTACTGGTCAGTGTCTCTCGTTCCAGCAGCTGTCAGACAGCTGAGAATAGACACATGCGGGATATTTGGGTGTCCTGCCTCCTTTTGTGTGGGATGTGGGTGAAATTCCTGGACTGTCTCGCCCAAATCAGGACAGTTACTCAATATGTTGTAATGTAATGTGATATAATGCTACAGTACACTAAGGTCAACATTATTAAGTAAAATAACATAGATTTTACAATATTACTATATATTTTAGTATTGATGTTTAGTGGGCCTAAATTTAAAAAACAGATATGGTGTTCACCTTTTTAAAAATAAAAACAATATGCTTCCAACTTTCAAAACCAAAGCCACACCCTTGACTATTTGTGTATCATGCAACTGGTTGTGTGAAGAATACCTTGAAAGCTCCTCCAGCTTCGATTTGGCGTAGTCCAGGCTGTTTCTCTCTATGTGTTCATGGGGTGTGTGGGCCAGAAGCTCATGGAGAGTGAGAATGTATCGAGGAATCTACAGACAGAAAAGAAAACAAAAGGCCAGTGGTACCCCACATTTAATTTACAAAATATACACAACACAATAACAAAGGGAGAAGTAGGATAACATGATGTCATCAGCAACATTTTTAATGAACACAGCAGCTAGACATCTTAAAATGGTCAGAAAACACGCTGTGACATCGAACAGATTCATTTGATATGTACACCTAAAACGCATCACGACTGTTGATTTCCCCCAATTTATGTTTAAAGTCCAAAATCAATCAAGTTTAGACTCAGGTTCATGACTCAGCGCCCAAGCAGATGAAATCTTATGTGGTTTTGTAAGAATTAAATGGCCGTAGATGCAATGTGTGTCTCCGGGTTAATCCGTGGATGTTTTGATTTAATGGACCAAGAAGTGCCATTTTCAGAACTTTCTTTTTAAATTCACTTGCTGATGAAAGGCGTAACTGATCAATTATTATAGTCAACCACTTTCAAATAGAAAACACAAATGGCTATAACAGTTAACTCTACAAACGATGAGCTAAAATCTGTGTGGCAGCAGCTAAAAGTGATTCAAAACATGAAATCTCTGGCAGGATGTCAGGCCATATGCATTTATTTAAGGAATATTGGACCTTTAATGTAACTCTTGGCTATATAGAGTAAGTACAACTGCCCTGAAGCCACTCCAGAGGTTATTCACTGTTTCTTTTAGCTCATCGAGCTAATAGGAAAAACTGTTTCCTCAGTGTGTGATAGCTTTCACTTTAGAGCAGCAACCTGTTGCAGTTCTGCTGCATAAATACTCAAACAATGTTGCTTTCTTTGCTGATGATGTGATGCTGCCCATCACTTTTCAGATGGTCAATGCATGTTTGTGCAGCGACTGTTCAATAACGCAAAGATGTCTTTGGTTGAGAAAATATGGGAAATAAACAACTGTCTGAGGCAAAAGTGTCGCAATGTAAAAATTAACAATAATGTGATCAGACTGCCAAGAATTTATTTTAACTGAGCAGTTTTATTTTATGTATTTTAAACCTTTAAGCACTGGGTGCTACTGAAATTTATATTCCAAAGAAAACATTTTTAAATGATTACGAAATTTCACTTAGGCAACATAAAATTTGACAAGCTCAAACTTGAGATGCACATTTGCCAAAAAAAAAAAAAAGGCTCCTTGTTTATTTTTCTTGTGACGCTGATGAGCTAACCTGGAACATGGGGTAGGTAAGAAAGGTCTCCAGAGTCCTCTCCTCACAGTCGGGCTTGGCCTCATACTGCTTCAGCAGCTTGTCAAAGTCCCGGTTTTGCTTACAGTGAGCCAGGATCTGCAGGCTGTACTGGTGGTTCCTCACAAACTCCTGGTAGATGTTCAGCATGGGCAGCAAGATGTCGAAAAGGTCAGCTGTGGAAACATAAATGCCAAGACAAAAAAATAAATAAATAAAAGTAAACAAACTGTTACACATACGTGGAGATCACAGCAGAAAGTCAGCAAAGAAAGCGGACTCTTACCCAGCACTAATGTCGGCCAGCTTGCTATCCTGGCTTTCAGACCCTGGTAGAATATCTGATGCAGGAACATGATAGTTTCACTAAAATAAAAAATAAAAAAACACAAATAAATTAATGAAGACGTTAAAAATAAACAAGCAGAGAGTTTCAGGAAATGATTCTGCAGATATCGATTTAAATTAAGCTTTGTTTATCAATAAGAATGTGCATAATTAGTATATATACAGAGGAAGGAGGGACTATTTTAACCAGTAAGTGTGTACAATCTGCACATGCCTGTTTTTGACTTTTTAATCTCTTTTTGTGCTGCTGACAGATCTCTGACAATATTTTGTGCTTTGGGCTTCTGTCCTCACATGCTCAGCTTTTAGCTCCGAGTGTGCGTTTCATTACGGCCAGTTCTGGTCCCAAAGCAAGAGTTTGTGTTCATGATTGGTCTCATACCAAAACAGTAACTAATGTGTTTGTGTCATAAAGAAAAAAAACCCTAAAGATGTGTTTATTTTTTCTATAGCATTTAGAACAACTTGTTTTGTTAAAAACAAATAAACAGTCTCACTAATCAACATATATTGGATCATATATTGGTTGTCAAATTAAATAAAAAATTAGAAAAATTCTTACAGACATGTTAAATTAAAAGTTTAAATGTTTTCAATCAATGCCACATGGCTACTGCTGGATGCTCAATTAGTACATATTGCTTTTTGGAGCTTGTTGCTATCTGGTTAAACCAGTGAGTATAATCTGTTTTTAAAACGTGTACTTTTTGTTACAGTTTTCACATATCAATCTCCAATAGACAGAAATGCAGGCTGCGGTAGCTCGGTGGTCACTACTTCGGTTTGGTAATCCTGAGGTTGCAGGTTCGAGCCCAGGTTGCGTCAGGAAGGGCAGTCAGCTTAAAACAATATCCATATATTTCATGCGAGTTCGCTCATTGTGGCAACCCTTGAAGAAGGGAGCAGCTGAAAGAATCTCCAGCAGACAGAAATGTGTGCAACAACAACAAAAAAGATGAAAACTGATTTGAGAACAGTTCTGCAAACTACAGCCAAGAAAACTGCTCTGCACTGGAGTTGGTCTGAGCATGTTGTTACAATACAACTTTGTTTTGAATCACAACTCATGCCTATTTCTTATAGGAAAATGCAATTCAGCAGATTGTGTGTTTTGGGGGAACTGTACGGTGGTGCAGTTGGTTCCTGCTGTTGCCTTGCAGCGAGGAGATCCTGCTTGTTTTCTCTTTGCATGTGCATGTTTTCTTCAGGTAAGTGAGTTTCCTCCCACAGTCCACAAACATGCCTGTTAGGTTAATTGAAGGTTCTTCATTGGCTCTAGATGTGAGTGTGTCTTATTGGTTGTTGCTCTCTGTGATGGACCAGTTACGTGTCCAGAGACACCTGCAGCTACTTGCAGCCCTGAACAGGAGCAAGTACAGCAAATGGAAAGATAGATGGCTGAAAAAATATGTTGATGTTGTTTTCATGCAAGATGTGCATGGTGGGGGTTTTGGGGGGCCAAACTGATGTTCACAATTAATTTCCTCATTCTCTGAATCTCCTCAAATTTAAGCCAAAACAAACCATCCATCCATCCATTTTCTTTACCCGCTTATTCCATTTTGGGTCACGGGGGTCGCTGGTGCCCATGTCCAGCAATCACTGTGCAAGGGGCGGGGGACACCCTGGACAGGTCTCCAGTCCATCACAGGGCCACATAGAGACAAATGAGACAAACAAACATTCACTCTCTCACTCACACCTAGGGACAATTTAGAGTTACCAATCAGCCTAACATGCATGTTTTTGGTCTGTGGGAGGAAACTGGAGCACCCGGAGAAAACCCACGCATGCACGGAGAGAACATGCAAACTCCACCCAGAAAGGCCCCCGGACCGGGGTTTGAACCAGGGACCTGCTCGCTGAGAGGCAGCAGCTCTACCAGTTGCGCCACCGGGCTGCTTGTAAAAATATCAATAAATGTTAAAAATCATTACATTTTTTTTTTAGCTTTTAATGTCACCCCTACTGGCCACAAAGCCCCCTCCAACAAGCCTAGAGTGGCTCATGGGCCACCAGTTGATAATCACAGTTGTAGCAGGTTGCTGTAGCTCTGATCACTTTTAATTTAGTGAACAAAGGCGTAAAAATGGCTCTTTTAAACATAAAGTTTACAGACCCCTGCTTTAAAACATCTGTGCATGGGACAAGACTCTTTTTGTCCTGCCTATGAGTTATTTGTGCAGCTTCACCACCAAATCTGTCCATAGACCAGATGCAGATTTTTGCTTATTAAATGTGATGCAAAACATTTTTGTAAACATTTCATAAAACAGGAGTACTGCTCTTCTCTGGTCTATGACCATGACACAATGGCTGAATAGTGCTGCAGCGCTAGAGAGCAGGTTTTACCTTGAGGCAGAGTTTGCCTCTATCAGAGGTTAAGAACAAGTTAGATTATATTTAATATCATGGAGCAATGAAAGGATTTTTTTTTTTTTTTTTAACCTGGACATGTTGATTTTCACTGTGAGGATTCATTGCGTTTCCTGTAACCTGAATAATTAGAGGCAACTGAAATAGATCATTTAACACACAATATATATACTGAGAATCACAAGAAATATTTTTGGAGAATCTTAAATATTATATATAAATAAATAAATAAATAAATAAATATCATATTTAGCGTTTAGCTCTGGGTTTGATTGCACATTTTGTTGCTAAAATGTAATAGTTTCTTTTTTAATTGGTTTCTTGTGTTTGGCAGTACTGTAGTACATTTAAGGACTAAAAGCTGGCACATCCTCATGTGTATGCAAAATGCTAAAAAAAAAAAAGGTGGTGGTGGTGGTGGGGGGGTACTCTCAAAATGCTAATGTGGTTTGGAAGAAGACAATCAGAAGACTTCTGTGGGACAACTTGAGCAAACCTGTTGAGGAATATGCTGCTGACGTCATCGTGGGTGATGGGCGGCTTCTTGGAGCTGGCAGCCATGCGCAGCGGCCGCAGGAAGTTGTTCACCAGAATGTGAAGCTGCTGAACATACTCTGCCTCCGAATCCAACATACTGAACACCACCTGGTTCCTTTTCCTCATGCTCTCTGCATGAGGCGAGCGGATGTAATCCTGGATGATGGTTTTCCACTTCCTTCTGCAAATCCAGCCTCGCAGAAAACTCTGAACCTGCAGGAGACCATGCTGCCTGTCAACATCCCCTTAAAGTAAACACCTTAACATCCCCTGTTTGTATGGAAACAGTTGTGATATTGTGTAAAATGTAACTGAAAACAGGATGAAAGGTTTTGCAAATCTGCAAGTGAACATGCTAAATGTTTGAACAAAGAAAATTCACAATTTTGGGGGGAAATAATAAAGGTAACTTTTAATTTTATGGCCACAACACAAGTTACAAAAGACAAGTGAGGCAACAGAAGACTGTAAAAGTAAGTGGTATGAAGAAAAAGAAACTAGTAGAAACACATTTGACATTTTATGGAAATTTACTGGCAACGTATTGGTATAAGTGTACAAAAATAACATAGGGGAGGCCAAATCTCTCAGAATTAAAGGTAGGTGAACTTCTGCCTATCTACAAAAATTTAATCTAAAAACAGTGGAACTTTTGCAGAATATTTTTTCTCAACCCAAAAATTGGGAAAACTTTTAATGTTCCATCGACTACAGTTCATAATATCACAAAAATATTTCAAGAAATGGGTGAAATCTCTGTGTGCAAAGGAAAAGATCATAAAATCAATGGATGCTCGTGAAATTCTTTGTGGAAACCACAACCAGCACGTTCTCCTTACAAAAGAGGAGTGGGACAATCCGGACTGTTATCAGCACACAGTTCAAAAGACTGCCTCTCTAATGATATGGGGGTGCATTTGTATTTATGGCATGAGCAAGTTACACGTCTAGAAAGGCACCATCAATGCAGAAAACCATATACGAGTTTTAAAAAATTACTGGTCCCATCCAGACGTTATTTGCAGGGATGTAATAGAAGAGCCTGAATGCTGAACTGGTCGGCCTCCAGTCCAGATCTCCCAGCCGTTAAAAAGTTTTGGAGCAGCATTAAAAAGAAAATTCCAGCAAAGAAGACCCAAAACTGTTGAACAGCTAGACTCAGCTTGTTGTTAGAGGAAGAGGGTGTACTTCAGTGCTATACACACCCCTGTTATTTGACCAAATGTTCCAACTTTTGGGATTGTACATGAAATGAAGCCAAAGGTTTAAACTGGAAGGTTTACCTTTTTGATCTTCTTGATTTCTGAGTCGTCCTCGGTTGGGGCGGCTGCCGGGCTGGCGTGGATCTTCTCATTGTCTTTGAGCAGTCCAGCGATCTGTCGGGGAAGCGAGCAGAAAAAAGACCAGTCATTCCCACATGAGATAATCTCTTCCTCTCACCTTCTGTAGCAGCATGCAAACAAAGTGACTACGCATGCTGTCATCACAGAAACAGGAGTCTGACTGAACTAGCTTTGTTCACTTGCCTGGTGTTTGGTACTATCATTAAAAAAGAGAAACTAATGGAGCTTGTTATTATGATTACATTTATTTGTTTATCAAAGTAAATATCAGGCAGGTGGGAAAATGAATCCAGCGTGTAGTTGCACTGAACCGTTTGAATCTGGAGTGTGTCCTCTCACTTTGTTGCCACAGCGACAGTTAAGTGTCATTTTATTTCATAGAAGAGGTGCCAGTACAAAGCAGAGTTCATGCATATTCCACACATAATTCCATTTGAGACATCGCATTTGCACATTAAAGTAAAATGACCATTTGATCTGAAATACATGAACGAGGACACGGGCCTCCTGGAGGCATTGTTCCTGAGAGGAGATGCAAAGTGGCGAGTGTCTGGCCTGAACACGACTCCATGATGGGCTGTTGTTTCTGTCCTCTTGCTCAGATTCACAGATATGAGGCATGCATGATAAAAGTCAGTAGAATCCCTGCTTTTCTACTGCTTTTTATTTTTATGGAGCTGGCGACTTAAGGCGAGAAAGAGATGCAAACAAATCTCAGAAAAGAATGTGAGTGTGGTGCGGAAAGCAGTGGTAAGAGTCCTATTGTGCCTGGAAGTCTATTTACAGTAATTCTGACTAATATTGTGAGTGGCTGCATCACACTGACTTCTCCCACGGCCTAACCAAAAAATAGGCCGTCACACATATTTATCTAAGAAATCGGGAACATTGTCTCAGAAAAAAATCTGATATTGATATACTTCATCCTGCAGGCATGAAATCTAAATTGTTGATAAAACCTGGAAGGATAGTGGTGAATCATCATGTTTTAGGAAGTCTACGTGTGTTTTGTGAACCTGGAGAAAGCTTAAGGTCATGTTCCCTGAGGTATTCTGTGGGGGTGTTCTGCAGGAGTGTGGGTACCAGGGTTGCTTTTAAAGGCTGTCCAGTCCCTGTACTGAATAACCAAAGCAGGAGCTGTGTCCACATGCTTGGCACAAAGTCGAGCTGGTTCTTGGTGCGGGTTGGACTCTGCCAGGGCTGTCCCTTGTCTCCGATCTTTTATGCAGCATTTGTGTACAGGACCTCAAGGTGCCGTCATGGAAAAGAGGGTGTCTGGTTTGTCAACCTCAGGGTCTTGTCTCTGCTTTATGTGGATGATGAGGTTCTGTTAGCATCTTGGAGCCAAGACCTTTACTGTGAACTAGGTCAGTTTTCAGCAGAATGTGAAGTGGCTAGGATGTGAGTCAGAGCCTATCTGAGTCCATGGTTCTGAAAAAGGAAACAGATGGAGTACCTCCTCCAGCTCGGGGGTTGAATCTTTGCCTCAGTTGGAGGAGTTAAACTATCTGGGCATCTTGTTAACAAGTGATGACAGGATGGAGCAGGATACAGATTGACAGATAGGGGCCTCATCTTCAATTGTAGGATGTTGCTTTGGACTGTCGCAGTGAAGAAGGCAAAGCTCATAATAGAGCCGTTGCTCCTCCACTTCAAAAAGAGGTAGATGAGGTGGCATCTGATTAAGATGCCTTCTGGACGTCTCCTGTTGGAGGTTTTCCAAGCATGTCCCACTGGGAAGAACGAGAGGAAAAAAAACAGAACTAGTTGGAGTGAGTGTGTATCTTCTTTGGCATGGGAATGCCTCAGGATTATCCAGGAGGGGCTGGAGAGTGTCACTGGGGAGAGGGAGGCCTGGGTTTCTCTTCTGGACTGGTTTCCTCCTAATTACAAATAAGCGGTTGAAGAAGAAGAAGATGGATGGAGATGGATATGTAGTTGAAAAAAGCTATAAATGAAACTATTTTTGCCCTCTGCCTGGCATACAAAAGTTTTAAGCAAAGATCTGATCGGTTAGTGTTCAATCCAAGTTTTGGACAGCCACGTTGAATGGGGTTGACTCCCAAATGTATTCAGTTGTACATTCAATGATTACTTGCTGAGAATTTTATTAATATACATTCAGTGGCTTATTAGATATTTTGCTAACAGACACACACACACACACACACACACACAGACACACACACACGCACACACACACACACACACTTTTAATGATGGCAGGCAATATTAAGCAAGATGGAAGATAAATATTTGAGAATTTTCTGTATGAGGTTTCAGATACTCAATTTGCAAATTGTGCTGTATTACAATGCATTAAAAAAATCACAATTTATTTGCCTTAATTGGTTTTGTTGAGTGTAAAATGACAACATCATCATCAGCATAACAAGAAAAAAAATCAACAACAACAACAACAACAATAATAATAATAATAATAATAATAATAATAAAACACAGTAAATATTACCTCTGACTTCAGCCTTTCAATCTCTATTTCGCCATCTTCTATCTGTTGTCGAAGTTGCTTAGCAACTGTTTTCTCAGTCTCCACAATCTGAAGCAGATGAAGATACTTCTGCATGAGAGTCTCATGCTCGGTAGCCAAGTTTCTGTAACTGTATCACACAAAAACACACACACGAAACACACACTCATGGTAGCATCTACAACACATTCAGTGTCAGTGCATGCAGTTTCATTTCAGATTAAAATAATCAGGTTGTTTCTTTTGGTCATACCTAACCTCCATGGTTGAAACCATGGCAACATCGGTGACAGACTGAATGAACCAGTCGGAGATTTCATACCTTCCAACCAACCAATTTAACGTCTAATTGCCATGTCTGCAAAATTCCCCTGAAGTGTGCGTTTACCTGGCATGTGATATTGCAGCCACCCATTCATCGCAGTCTTTTACATCTTCTGTGCGCAACTCAAGAGCCTTTTGGTTTTCATGAGTGAAGCTGACTGTGAAATAGTACTGAAACAAACAGAAGGAAAAACAACTGATGAATTCCAGATATAAAGAACAGAAGCTATCAATGACTTCACCTTTATGTTGTGCATGTAACATAATTCAACATATGTTCAATATACAAATATACATACACATACATATATACAATATACAGTATATACATAGTATATTGAACATTCTCAGGGTTTTTGCCTTTTGTGTTTGTCGTGCTGCCTCAACGCTGCAGACACCAAGCGGGAAATTTAAAATCCCACAGAGCCTGGGGAAGCCACATCATCCTCACCCACCATTGCGGCTGATGGAGCACATTGAGGGCGGCCTCCCCAAGCTCATATTCTGGGATGTCTCTGGTTCCCATGAGGAAATGCCATAAGACACGGAGGCTGGAGCCAACTATATAACGGTGCTATACCTGTTTCCTAGCAACTCTGGTCAACATGAACAGTTGTTCACAGCTGTTTTTTCTTCTTCTGTCTGCTGGACTGCTGAGCCATTCTGGGCATTAAAACGTCAGCAAATTTACTGTAATGTACTGTTTCTGTACAGAGATACTGTTTAAATATTTGTAAGATTATGTGGAATTATTGAAATTATCTATCTATCTATCTATCTATCTATCTATCTATCTATCTATCTATCTATCTATCTATCTATCTATCTATCTATCTATCTATCTATCTATCTATCTATCTATCTATCTATCTATCTATCTATCTATCTATCTATCTATCTATCTATCTATCTATCTATCTATCTATCTATCTATCTATCTATCTATCTATCTATCTATCTATCTATCTATCTATCTATCTATCTATCTATCTATCTA